ACGATGATATTGTTCTTATCATGCCCTGCGACCCAAGGTAGGGTTTAGGGTTTATTAGGGTTTATTAGGGTTTATTAGGGTTTAGGGTTTAGGGCTTATTAGGGTTTAGGGCTTAGGGTTTGCCTGCGGCCGCCTGTGGATATACGGCTGCTGTTCAGTATTTTAAGACTTGTATTTCATGGCTTACATCTCTTGCAGGTTGCTAGGGTTTAGGGTTTAGGGTTTATTAGGGTTTAGGGTTTGCATCTGTCTCAGGCACTTCTTCCATCGCGCCTGTGTGGAGCACTGGCTGGAGACCAGTCAGGCATGGTACGTCAATTAGGGTTTAGGGTTTAGGGTTTACGCCTGCTTGTTTTCCTTGTGTGGCGCGGCTGCCGTGTGTGTATATATATATGTATGTATATAAGCAGCAAAATTAGGGTTTAGGGTTTAGGGTTTAGGGTTTGTGCTGCAGCCCTATATGCCGCGCCAACATCGTACGATTAATCATGGGGACAGACGAAGGCCAACCGCCATCAGAGGCAGGGACCTCAATAGAAATGCAAGTCTAGGGTTTAGGGTTTAGGGTTTAGGGTTTAGTAGGGTTTAGGGGCCCATAGGGTCTCGTGATGGGCGGACGCTGTCACGAGCAGCAGATGCAGCAGCATCAGATGCAGCAACAGCAGATGCAGCAGCAGTAGATGCTGCAGATGCAGCAGCAGCAGATGCTGCAGCAGATGCTGCAGCAGCAGCGCCTAGAACAATTGGCTGCATCAGCTGCGTCGGTTGGTGCAGCAACAGCAGCAAACCAGCAGCAGCAGGAAGCAGCAACTTATGCAATTGCAGCAGCAGCAGCAGCTTATGGAATAGTAGCAGCAGCAGCAACTGCAGCAACAGCAGCAGCAGCTACTGCTGCTGCAACTGTTGCCTTTGCTGCGGCAGTAGAAGGATCAGTACCACAAATAGCTGCAAAAGCAGCAGCGGCAGCAGCAGCATCAGCAGCAACAGCAACAGCAACAGCAGCTACTGCTGCAGCAGCTGCTGCTGCTGCAGCAACTCTTGTGGCAGCTGTGTATACAGCTGCAAAATAATAAAAAGTAACAAAAAGATAATTCATTTATTTATTATTTATATAATTATATTTATTTATTATTAATATTTATTTTTTTATTATTTATATAACTATATTTATTATTTATTTATATTTATTTATTATTTATATATTTATATTTATTACTTATATAATATATATTTATTATATATATATACAACATCTATATTAACTAAATATAAATATATATTACTATATATATTATTTATTAATAAATATTAGTTATAAATAATAAATAAATAAATAAATAAATAAATAAATAAAAAGAAGACAGCAGCAAAAATAGTAAAATGAGTAAAATAAAGCCCCAAAAGTAAACGCATGCATGCAGCAGCAGCAGCAAAATAAAATCAATAAAATGCTGCAGCAGCAAATGTGGCAAACAAAAAAAACGACAAAAAATGCGCCACGCTGCTGTTGCTGCTGCTGCTGCTGTTGCTGCTGCAGTTGCTGCAGCTGCTGCAGCTGCTTTTGCTGGAAGACTCTGTACAAACTGGAGCCTCTCTGCCACTGGCAGCAACAACAAAATATCTGCTGCTGCAGCAGCAGCAGCGGCAGCAACAAAAGCACAAATATCTGCAACAGCAGCAAGGATACCTGCTGCAGCAGCAGCAGCAGCAACTGCTGCTGCTGCTGCTGCTGCATTATATATTTTATTGCCCACACATTGGGAGGCGACCTCACAAGACGTGAGAAAAAGACAAAGAAAAACTCCCAGATACTATCTATCCCTTCTAGCTGCTGCTGCTGCTGCTGCTGCTACAGCTATGTTGCTGCTGCTGCAGCTGTGCTGCTGCTGGTACAGCAGCAGACGCAGAAGCATGATATGAATGCAACAGCAAAGACTATTATGCCTTAGCTGCTGTTATTTCCCTGTACACTGCAGGTATTTATCCGTGATGCTGCCTGTGCTGCTACCTCCGCTGCTGTTGCTGCTGCTGCTGCAAGAGCAGCAACAGCAGTACCACCTGCAGCAGCAATCAGCGTGCAGCAGCAGCTTCCTGCATAAATGCAAGCATATGCTGTGCCTCCTCTGGTGCACACTGCAGCAGCAATTCCTCGACAAAATCCCTAAAGAAAATAAACACAAGATGCATATAAACCCCAATATAATAAGAACAGCAGCACCAACAAAAGCAGCAGCAGCAACAACAACAACAACAGCAGCAGCAACAACAACAAAATCATCATCATCAGCATGATCCTCATCACCACCACCATCACCACCACCAACAGCACCACCACGAACAGCACCACCACCAACAGCAGCAGCACCAACAGCAGCAGCACCAACAGCAGCAGCAGCACCACCACCACCAACAGCAGCAGCACCAACAGCAGCAGCAGCAGCACCACCACCAACAGCAGCAGCACCAACAGCAGCAGCACCACCACCACCACCAACATCAGCAGCAACAGCAGCAGGAGCAGGAGCAGGAGCAGGAGCAGGAGCAGGAGAAGGAGCAAATAAATAAATAAATAAAATAAATAAATAAATAAAATAAATAAATAAAATAAATAAATAAAATAAATAAATAAATAAATACCATGAATTGAATAAAATAGGATGATAAGATTTGAATTTTTGTGATTTTACAAATTTTTGAAATTTTTGAAAAAATGAAATTCGATAATTTTCATTAAATGAAATACAAATCATCTCTTTATTATATAATTCATTTCTTTCTAATGAATATAATAAACCTGTAACAGCAAATGCAGCAACAGCAGCAACAGCAGCAGCAGCAGAAGCAAATGCATAAGAAATACAAATTTATATAATTCTTCTCTTTCTAATGAATATAATAAACCTGTAACAGTAACAGCAGCACCAAATGCAGCAGCACCAAATGCAAATACACAACAAATACAAATCATCTCTTTATTATATAATTCATTTCTTTCTAATGAATATAATAAACCTGTAACAGCACCAGCAGCAGCAGCAAATGCAGCAGCAGCAGAAGAAGAAGAAGAAGAAGAAGAAGAAGAAGAAGAAGAAGAAGAAGAAGAAGAAGAAGTAGATGTAGATGTAGATGTAACAATTGTAATAATTGTTGGAACATGAGTTCTTGGAGGGAGGGAAAGGAAGAAAAATTGAGGGAAAAAGAATATATGCAACATTGTGGTGGGGATGTAGAAAGGAAAGGGATTTATACTATATACACACTCCTGCTGCTTCTGTTGCTGCTGCTGTTGCTGCTGCTGCTGTTGCTGCTGCTGCTGTAGTTACCTGGTGGTCTCTCCCTGTAGAAATGCCAACAGAGGCCAACGTCACTTCTGAATTCAACAGAAAGATATCCTACAGTACGGAAGTTGCTGCTGTTGCTGCCTCTTCGCTGCTGCTGTTGCTGCTCATCCTGCTGCTGCTCCTGCTGCTCCTGCTCCTGCTGCTGCAGCTGTTCTTCAAATTTAGCAGCAGCATCCGCAGCAATCTGCTGCAGCTCCAGCACAAGAACAGGGAGAGTGTTGTATTTTAGCTGTATTATGTCTGAGGACGTATGAGGTGCTGCTGTTGTTGCTGCTGTTGATGCTGCTGCTCCTCCTTGTTCTTCTTCTGTTGGTGCTGTTCGCTGACGTGGCAGCAGAGACGATGCAGTAGACCCTACAAGGCCACCAAAGCAACGAGCTGCTGCTGCAGCAAACTCTGCAGCAGGAAGCAACGCTGCACGGCTGCAAACAAGACACACAAGCAGCAGCAGCAGCAGCAGCAGCATAGGAATAGGCAGCAGAAGACCAAGTAGACACAGCAACCAAGCAACAGGCCGAAGCAGCAGCAACACACACAACAGCAACGGCAGCAGCAGACACAGCAGCAGCAGCAGCAGCAGCAGTAGGCACTGACTTGAGGTCTTCAGCTCTGAATAGACAAAGATAAACAGAGCTGACACCAAGACGGAAGGGCAAATCGCTGCTGCTGCTGCTGCTGCTGCTGCTGCTTCTCTTCCACCAGGCAACACTTGCTGCAACCTCTCGAGATCTATCATGCAGTGTTCTTGCTGCTGCAGTAGCTGCAGTAGCTGCTGCTGCTGCTGTTGCTTCTGCTGCTGCTGCTACATCTATGTTGCTCTCCGTGCTGCTGCGGCTCTCTGCTGCTGTCCCTAAACACTGCAAGTGCTGCAGGTGGCGCTCCCTAATGCTGCTGCTGCTGCTGCTGACTCCATCTGCAGCAGCAGAACCTGCTGCTGCTGCTGCTGCAGCAGCAGCACTACGGCGGCTGCGAGGATGCATAAGTCGTGTAACTACGCCCCTTAAGAAAGTGTTTATCTGCTTCCTCCTGGGCCTAGCAACCGCGCTGCTGCTGCTGTTGCTGCTGCTATTGCTGCAGCTGTGGCTGCTGCTGCTGCGGTCTATATTGCTGCTTGCTGCATCAGCAATGTTTGCTGCATCGTGTTCCTGCTGCTGCTGCTGCTGCTGCTGCTGTTCCCGTTGCTGCCGCTCTTGCTGCTGATCCACAGAAGAAGCAGCAGAAACAAAAGAATCCCTGCGTTCTGCCCGTGCAGCATTTCGCTGCAGCTCCTGCTGCTGCTGTTGCTGCTGCTGCTGCTCTTCCTCCTGCTGCTCCTCCTCCTCAGCAGGAGCAGCAGCAGCAACAACAGCAGTAAAGTCTTCCCGCTGCAGCAACTCTAAGAAGCGCAGCATATCTGCTGCGTCTGCTGTTGGTCTCCCTACAGGTATTACACGCGAAGGCCAACCAGGATAACGACAAGCCCTGCAGCAGCAGCAACAGCAGCAGCAGCAGCAACAGCAGCAACAGCAATAACATAAAACAAAGTCAAGAGTGCATGCATGGATGAATGCATGCAAGCATTTATGCACATAGTTCGCAATGGTACTGTTTGCTGCAAGTCCCTGCTACTACTACTACTACTACTACTACTACTACTACTACTATTGCTGGTACTGCTGCAGCAGCTGCTGCTCTTGTTGCTGCTGCTGCTGCTGCTGTATACTTACGCCTTTAAGATGAGACGACAGAAGTCGCGGCAATTCCAACCAACGACGCGGTAGCTGCGGCCTCTAACACTCAGCAGCAGCTGCAGCAGCGCAGCAGCAGGAAGATATACTTGCTGCTGCTGCTGCTGCTTCCGCTGCAGCAACTTGCTGCTGCATCTTCTTAGCAAACCTCCTCCTCCCCCCACCTGGCTATCGTACTCGGCCGGTGTGGCAATGATATTTGCTGCTCCTGTTGCTCTCCACCTGCTGCTGCTGCTGCCCCCGCTGCTGCTGCTGCTGCTGCTGCTCTCATAGACAGCAATTTCGCATGCAGAGGGCTTAAGGGGAGGAAAAGAAAAAGAAAATCCCCAAAGAAATCTTCCCTTAGGAACATCACCAAAAAAGTCAATAGATAGGTATCCTGTAACTCTGCTGCTGCTGCTGCTGCTGCTGCTGCTGCTGCTGTCTTCTGCTGCTGCTGCTGCTGCTGCTGTTTTAAACTCTAGTATTATCTGCTGATGCAGGAATGTGCTGCTGCTCAATAGATAAGCTCCTGCTGCACCTAATGGATTCTCCATCCTATGGCCTATAACACAAATCCTTAGGCAGGTACCAAGCTGCTGCTCGCTGCTGCTTCTGCTGCTGCTGCTGCTGCTGCTGTTGATGCGGGCACGCTGCATCAACCACTGCAGCAACTCTTGCATCCCTTGAGCAGCGCATGCAGGAGGAGGCGAAACAGTTGAGCTGCTGCTGCTGCTGCTGCTGTCCACACCAATCTGTCTTAACAGCAACGGCTCCTGCTGCTCCTCCTCCTGCTGCTGTTCCTGCTGCTCCTGCTGCTGTTCCTGCTGCTCCTGCTGCTGCTGCTGGTCGCTATTGTCTGCCCCTGTCTCCAATGGCAATTCCTCAACATCCTCCATCCCTCCAAACTCTGCCGAATGCCCACCTGCATCTGCTGCTGCTGCATCTGCTGCTGCTGCTGCGACACCTGCTGCTGCTGCGACGGCATCTGCTGCTGCTGCTGCATCTGCTGCTGCTTCTGCAACTTCTGCTGCTGCTGCTGCAGCATCTGCTGCTGCCGCTGCAGTGTCTGTAGCTAATTCAGTTGTGCTCTGAATAGCAGCAACTTCGCTTTGTGCCTGAATAGGTGGGCGTACAAAGGCTCTGCTGCTGCTGCTGCTGCTGCTGCTGCTGCTACTGCTGCTGCTACTGCTGCTGCTACTGCTGCTGCTATTGCTGTTGCTGCTGCTGTCGCGGGTGCTGGCGAACAGATCATCATCGGTTCTCCTGCTGGCACTGATGCTGCTGCTGCTGCTGCTGCTGTCGCAGGTGCCGCAATCGGCTGTAGTTGGTTTGCTGCTGCTGCTGCTGCTGCTGTCGTTGTCTAAAGGACGGTTCCTCCTCTCCCGCTGCTGCTGCTTGCAGCGCTGCTTCGTGTGGCTGCTGCTCCATGCAGAGACAGGGCCAACCCATCCGCATGCGCTGCAATAAACAGGCAGCAGCAAGTACTGCAGCAGCAACAACAACAACAGCAGCAGCAGCAAGGACAACTGATTATATTTGCTGTATTCTTCTATCTTCCTTTGTTTATTTAAATAAATTAAGGAGAAAGTAAATAAACAGAAAAGAGACGAAAAAAGAGAGAAAGGAGAAAAAGGGCGACAGCAGGGAGACAAAGAAAAGGAGCAGCAGCAGCAGCAGCAGCAGCAGCAGTTGAAGCTTCGCGAGAAGCAGCAGCAGCAGCAGCGGAGACAGCAGCAGGAAGAAAGGAGACACATATACACCGCAACTTACATGCAGCAGCAAATCAACAAGGGCCTCGTTCTCTGCTTCCTCTAAGGGCTTCACGTTCTTCATATATAATACCCTGCAGCAGCAGCAACAGCAGCAGCAGCAGCAGCAGCAACAGCAAGTGCAGCAACAGCAGCAGCAGATATTTATCCTTCTATAGGTAAGACAGCAAGGAGACAGTCCCCTCATAAGACAGGAAGACAAGGAATATATTATATATGTATATATAGCATATGGAGACACCGTAAGAAGCAGCAAATGCAACAGCAGCAGCAGCAGCAGCAGCAGCAGCAGCAAATTACCTTCTACATAATGGACAGAAGCTAGTCTTATCCAAGACAGCAAGGAGACAATCTCCACAGAATACATGGAGACAAGGAGTAAATATATAACAATAAATATATGTATATATAGCATATAGAGACACCGTAAGAAGCAGCAACAGCAGCAGCAGCAGCAGCAGCAGCAAATTACCTTCTACAAAGAGGACAGAAGCTAGCCTTAGCTAGTACAGCAAGGAGACAATCTCCACAGAATACATGAAGACAAGGAGTAAATACAGGATAAAATAATAAATCTAAACAAATGCTGCAGCGGAAATCAAATTCTGTATAAAATGATTCCCCATATACATCATATTTGCTGCTGCTGCTGCTGCTGCTGCTGCTGCTGCTGCTGCTGCTGCTGCTGCTGCTGCTGCTGCTGCTGCTGTTGGATTTTCTACTACTGCTGCTGCTGCTGCTGCTGCTGCTGTTCGTGGTGGTGCCGCTGTTGCGGGGGACAAGACGCAGCTTGCGCATGCAACAACTATTTAATAGCTGAAGGGTTTGCTGCTGCAGCTCAGGTCTATCGGGAGTTGTTGGTGCTGCGCTGCTGTTGCTGCTGTTGCTGCTGCTGCCACCACGCAGCAGCAAGAATAATGCACCTAAACCCGAATCGGATGACAGCAGCAAAGGAGACACTCCATTACGCAAGGATGCAGCAGCAGCAGCAGCAGAACCTGATCCGCTGCTGCTGCTAACAGACAGACGTTGCGCTTGCTGTCTTAATCGGCTACTTAATGCAGGCTCCTGCAGCACAACAACAGCAGCAGCAACAACAACAACAGCAGCAGCAACAGCAGCAGCAACAGCAGCAGCAGCAGCGGCAAACCGCAGAGGAAAGGAGACGCATTATGATCTGCATATCTCTATTAAAGCATTCTACCCTCTACGCTGCACCTGCCACTGCTGCTGCTGCTGCTGCTGCTGCTGTTGCTGCTGCTGTTAGTGTTGCTGCTGCTGCTGTTGCTGCTGCTTACTGTAAGCATTGCTCTTGATGCAACTGCTGTTGCACTTAATGCTCCTGTTCCTGCTGCAGAGCTGCGCAGCAAGGCAGATGGCATAGAATATGCATGCACCTGCTGCTCCTGCAGCTGCTGCTGCAGTTGCTGCTGCAGCAGCTCCGCCTCCTCCTCCCGCTGCTGCGGTCCCCCCAACGTCTGCTGCCGCTGCTGAAGGCTGTCAGCAGCAGCAGCAGCAGCAATTGATGAATGAGGGATGCGGCTAGCTGGCTGTCTCCTTATAAGTACTCTATTTGCTGTATTTGCTGCACCTGTTGCTGCTCTCCCTGTCGTAGGTGCTGCAGCAGCTCGTGTTGCTGCTGCTGGTGGTGCACCTGCTGCTGCTGGGACCTCGCGGCTCATCCTTGGACCTGCTGGGGAGCTGCGGGATGCTGAATGCCTGCTGCTGCTGCTACTGCTGCTGCTGCTGCTGCTGCTGTGTGCCGCCGTTCCGCCCACGGCGGCTTGCTGCTGCTGCTGCGGCTGTTGCTGCTGTTGTTGCTGCACCCGGCGGCGAGCTCTGTGTCTGCGGGAGAAAGTTGACTGCAGCAAAAGCGGTTGTTGTTGCTGCTGCTGCAGTTGCTGCTGCTGCTGCTGCGACGGGCTCGACGACCCTCGAAGACTCATGTTGTGTTACAGCAGCAAACGGCAGGAGCAACAGCAGCGGGAGCAGCAGAGGCAGCAGCAACACAAGCAGCAGCTCCTGCAACGACTCCTAAGTTGATGACAGCAGCAGTTGCTGCTGTTGCTGCTGCTGCTGCAGCTAGGCCCAATTGAGGCCCCAGGTTGTCGCCGCGAGACCCAGAGCTGCTGCTGCTGCTGCTGTTGCTGCTGTTGCTGCTGTTGTTGGTGCTGTGCAGTTAGTAAGAATGATATAAGAGTTGCAACAACTAGAGGAAGATACAACAGCAGCAGTTGCTGTTGCTGCTGTTGCTGCTGCTGCTGCTGTCTGGCTGCCTGTCCAGCCGTTCGTTCAGTCAGCCGCGCAGGCAATTCAACAGCAGCAGCAGCAACAACAGCAGCAACAGCAGCAGCAGCAGCAGCAAATGCTTGCCTTCTACATATATTAAGGTCTTAAAATGCTTCTTATAGATAACAGCAATTATCTTCCCCTGTCTTTGCTGCTGCAGCACAAACAACAGCTGGCACTCTCTCTCCCTTCACGCTGCCAACAGCAGCAGCAGCAGCAACAGCAGCAGCAGCAACAGCAGCAGTAGCTGCTGCTGCAGCAATACACATATCAGCAGCCTAAGAGATTTGCTGCTGCTGCTGCTGCTGCTGTCTTAAAAGGGACTAAAATAAACATTAAAATTTAACACATTTAGTAGAAGTTATGTATACACCCCAGTTGAGGTGTACAGGCAGCCTGTAGACAGCAGCAGCAGCAGCAGCAGTAGCAGCAGCAGCAGCAGCAGCAGCAGCAGCGGCTGCTGCTGCTGCTGCTGATCGGGGTGGCTGCGAGTAAGGGGGACAGAAAGACAGCAGCAGCAGCAGCAGCAGAGAAATGCTTCCTCTTAAGTTAATGAACTTATGAGGCATTCAACTCCTCTTATTGCTGCAGCAGCAGATGTAACACTTATAGCAACATTAAATGCAAGGATAGTTCTCTGTAGTGCCTTGCTTCCTTGTTAAACACGTTTCCGCAGCTGCAACTGCAGCAGCAACTGCAGCAGCAACTGCAGCAGCAGCTGCAGCAAGAGCAGCAGCAGCGCAACGCGACGTGCCACGTAGCAGCAGCCTGCCCAGGAGCAGTTGCTGCAGCATCAGCAGCAGAACAGCTGCCGCTGCCCCATTAAAACGACAAAAATAGCAGTAGCAGCGGAGCAGCAGCAGCAGCAACAGCAGCAAGCAACCGCAGCCCTCAGTGGCATGCATGCTGTTCACTGCAGCAACAGCAGCAGCAGCAGCAACAACAGTAATACTCAGAATTATTGCCTCTCTAGAGGCGCTGCAGCAGCAACTGCTGCAGAACAGTATCAGGCACTGAATAGCTGCAGCGGCAGCCGCTGCAGCAGCAGCAACAGTTGCGGCAGCAGCAACAGCAGCGGCTGCCCGCCCAACAAGAGTTATATTAGCAGCAGCAATAGAAGCAGCAGCAGCAGCCCCAAGGGGAGACGAGAGAATGGCCTTTTATAGATATAGGCTGCTGCTGGCTGCAGCAGCAGTGCTGCTGTGTTGGAGTTCAGCAGCAACAGCAGCACCTGCTGCTGCTGCTGCTGCTGCTGCACCGCCTAGAGGCAAAGGTGCAGCAACAGCAGCAAAGAATGCTGCAGCAGCAGCAGTTAAAAGAGCAAATGAGGGGGTAAGTAGTGTTACCTGCTGCTGATTTTGTTGCTGTTTCTGCTGCTGTTGCTGTTGCTGCTGCCTCCACAGATCTGCTGCTGCTGCTACTGCTTCTCACTGCTCCTGTTGCTGCTGCTGCTGCTGTTGTTGCTGCTGCAGCGCGCTCCATTTAGCCCCAAGTTTGCAGCTAATCAACCTATAGATGCAACAGACGACCCTGCAGCAGCAGTTCCCGCTGCTGCTGCTGCTGCTGCTGCTGCACCAGATGCATCCCAGGATGCAGCAGCAGCAAACGCTGCACAGGATCAGAATGTAAAAACTCAAGAGACTGCAGCAGCAGCAGCAGCAGATGCTGCTGCTGCTGGGGAGGAGGCTATTGATGCCGCAGATCCAGCTGCTGCTGCTGCAGATGGTGCTGCAGCAGAAGCAGCAGATGAGGCGGCAGAGGCGGCATCTCTTGCTGCAGCAGAAGCTGCCGCTACTGCAGAAGCAGAAGCTGCAGCGGCAGAAGCTGCTGCGGCGGCTGAGGCAGCAGCAGCAGCAGAAGCGGCTGCTGCAGCTGCTGCAGCAGAAGCAGCAGCAGCAGCAGCAGCAGAAGCCCCTGCAGACATATTGGAGGCAGCAGCAGCTCCTGAAGCAGCAGCAGCTGTACCAGGCTGGGATGAGGCTGCTGCTGCTGAGCTTGCGTACGATGCAGGAGCAGCAGCAGCAGCAGCACCTGCAGGAGCAGCAAATGCAGTGGAAGATACAGCATCTGCTGCACCAGCAGCAGCAGCAGCAGCAGCACCGCAGCCAGCAGTCCCTCGCTCTCCTAGCAAGGCCCAGACCGCAGCAGCAGCAGCAGCAAACAGAAACCCGTACCGTCAGCAGCAGCATCCCGATCCTAAGCAGCCGCAGCCGTACGGTGTACCTACAGCAAACCCTAAACAGCAACAGCAGCAGCAGCAGCAGCAGCAGCAACCGTATGCAGCAGCATACATGCACACACAAGAGTTCGATGCTGCAGAGCAGCAGCAGCACATGCCATACTATGAGACAGCACACCATAGAGACACGAGGCCTAAATGGCGGCAGCAAGAGCAGCAGCAGCAGCAGCAGCAGGAGCAGCAGCAGCAGCAAGACTCCCTTGAAGATGAGGGTGACTATGACCCCTTCCAAGAATTCGAAGAGCAGCAGCAGCAGCAGCAGCAGCAGCGCAGATCTGCTGCTAGTGGTGCTGCAGCAGCAAGCGCATATGGAGATATGGACTCTCTGCTGCGTAAGTAGTTGTATGCTCCTACTGGTGCTGCTACTGCTGCTACTGCTGCTGCTGCACTAGCTCAGCAGCAGCAGCAGCAGCAGCAGTTATTGCACAGTCTGCTGCTGATATATCCCTTAGAAGTGTTCTAGCTGCGGCTGTTGAACTATTTACCTCCTTAGTCCCCCCTCATGCTGCTGCTGCTGCTGTTGTTGCTGCTGTTGCTGCTGCTGCTGCTGCAGATGCTGAGTGCCCGGCTTATGCTGCTAGACTACTGCAGCAGCAGCAAGACATGTTATCTGTACCTGTATGGATAGAAGGACTAATAGGGGATAAAAGTATATTATTTCTTATTAAGGAAGGAACAACAGCAATACTTTATCAACATCGTGCTGACTGTATGCTGCTGCTCCTGCTGCTGCTGTTGCTGCTGTTGCTGCTGCTGCTGTTCTTGTTGCTGTTGATGCTGTTGGTGGTGGTGATTATGATGGTGCTGCTGTTGGTGCTGCCGCTGATTTAGAGACAGAGCAGCAGCAGAAGTTGCAGCGCTGCTGCTGCTGCTGCTGCTGCTGCAGAGACCTGCTGCTGCACTGGACCGCCTGTGTTGCTGTTCTGCTGCTTGTGTCTGCTGCAGTCGCCGCAGCAGCAGCAACTGTACACAGAGCCGTTGCTGCTGCAGCTACTGCTATTGCTGCTGCCAATGATGAAGCCTTTAACAGCTACCCCGTTGTGTGGCTCATCTGCTTCATTTGCTTCATGCTGCTGGTGCGTTGCTGCTGCTGCTGCTGCTGCTGCTGCTGCTGCTGCTGCTCCCTTTTGCGGTTGCTGTCCCTTCTGCTGATGCTGTTGTTGCTGCTGACGTTAACTGTTGCTGCTGCAGTGTCGCCCCTTATGGCCTGCTGTTGTTGGTATGGTTACTGCAGTTGCAGCTTTTGCTGCTGCTTGCTGCTGTTGCTGCTGCTGCTGCTGGTACTGTATGGTGTATATACACCTTGTTTGTGTGTTTTTCTGTAGATTGTCTGTCGTCTTTTATTTGGACAGTTCTTCCCTCTGTGGGGCAGCAGCAGCAGCAGCATGCGCAGGCAGCAGGAAGCAGCAGCAGCAGCAGCAGTTCAGTTGCTGATGAAGCAGCCACAGATGCAAGCACTTCTTGTTAACAGCAAAAAGCTCTCGCTGCTGTGCGGATCTGCTGCTGCTAACAGTGTATCGACACCTAGCGGCAGGGTAGGCTGAGAGCAGCAGCAGCAGCAACAGCAGCAGCAGGAGCAGCAACAGTAGAAACTGCAGCAGGAGCAACGGCAGCAGCAATAGCTATTACCTCCTTCTTGCTGTGTATTTGTGCTGCAGTCCATGGCTGCTGCAGGGGCTGGTCCTCTTGAGGCTGAGTCAATGCAGCAGCTGCAGCTGCTGCAGCAGCGGCTAACACGCTTCTTAGATCAACAGCAGCAGCAGCAACAGCAACAGCAGCAGCAGCTGCTCAGCCAGGCGCAGCAACTCTCCGAGGCAGTGGAGGCACAATCACGTTTCGCCCTCTTCATGGCACAAATACTCAAGTAATTCAGTAGCAATAGCAGCAACAGCAGCAGCAGCAACAGCAGCAACAGCAACAGCAGCAGCAGCAATAGCAGCAGCAACAACAACAGCAGCAACAGCAGCAGCAGGAGCAAGAAGCATACCTGCATGCGTGTGTTTGTGTGTTGCTTTTTCTCAGGCACATGTCTATGAATGGGAGCCAGCCGGTGAGTTACTTGCATTGCTGCTGCTGCTGTACTTGTTGCTGCTGCTGCTGTACTGGTTGCTGCTGCTGCTGTACTTGTTGCTGCTGCTGCTGTAGCCATTCATTGCTGGTGTTGCATGCATGCATTTGCTGCTCAGGGCCCCGAGCTAGATTTGCCGGAGTTTATAGGAAAAGGGCAGCAGCAGCAGCAGAGCCTTGCTGTTGCTGCTCAAGACCTTGTAGATATGGTGTCTCCTAGGCTCGCCTTCCAGCCATCAGCAGGTCAGTCTGCTGCTGCTGCTGCTGCTGCTGCTGCTGCTTCAGATTGTTCTGTTGTTGGTGTTGCTGCAGACTGCTCTGCTGCTGCTGGAGGTTGTGCTGATGGTGCTGTTGCTGATGTTTGTGTTGCTGTTGTCTGCAGAGCTCCATGAGCTCGCAAGCACAGCAGCAGCAGCAGCAGCAGCAGCACCTCCTCCACCTCTGTCTAGCATGAGCAGCAGCGAATCCCATATGGTGCCGCAGATGCCTAGGGGGAGCCCGATGTTGCTGCAGCCACAGCAGCAACAGCAGCCGCAGCAGCAGCCGCAGCAGCAGCAGCATTTCGATATGCCCCCGCTTCCCCCGTCGCAGCAGCAGGAGCAGCAACAAGATGATTCTAAGCAGCGCATGCTGCACCATCCTCAGCATCCTGGTGGTCCATTTGCTGACGCAGGACCACCGCAGCAGCAGCAGCAGCAGCAGCAGCAGCAGATGCTGCAGGAGTCTCTGCTTCCTCCTTCTGTCTCTGACATGAGGGACAGATTTGGATCGAGTGACTCCACGCCCATGAGGCGCACAAGTTTTGAAGGACGTAAGCAGCAGCAGCAGAAGCAGAAGCAGAAGCAGCAATAGCAGCAGCAGCAGAAGCAGAAGCAGCAATAGCAGCAGCAGCAGCAGAGCAGCAGCAGCCAACCACCACCACCCATAATAATCTTAGGCGCAGATTTAGTAGCAGTGAGAGGAGCACCAGCACAGTAAAGGAGGGAGTAGAGAACTAACTAGCAGCAGCAACAACAACAGCAGCAACAACAGCAGCAACTGCAGCAGCAGCAGCAGCAGCAGCAGTAGCGGTATGTTGTATTGTGCATGCGTTGCTGCTGTGCAGCATTTGATGGTCCTATGTCTGCTGCTGCTGGAGGGACACCAACAAATGTCTCACAGGTGGAGACATCTTCTGCTGCAGAGGCAGCAGCAGCAGATTTCTTACCAGGCTCTGCTCATCTGCAGCAGCAGCAGCAACAGCCGCCGCCTCCACCGCCGCCGCAGCAGCAGCAGCAGCGCCCTAACGGACTCCCAGGGCCCCCTGCGCCGACCCAGGGGCCCCCAAGGCCCCCCCTCTCTAATGGAGGCCCCGCATTTGCTGGTGAGCGGCGTCTCAGCTAGCTAGCTAGCCAGTTAGCTACCTATGTAGATAGCTAGCTAATTAGGCAGCTAGCTATGTATGTAGGTAGCTAGCTAGCTAGCTATAGTTAGTTGTATTTGTTGTTGTATGTATAGGACAAGAGAAAGAAAATCCTCCTTCCCCTAAACCCTTGGGGTTACGGCAACTGCCAAGGAGAGAAAGAAAGTAAGACAGCAGCAGCAGCAGCAGCAGGAATAGCAGCAGCAGCAACAGTAGTAGCAGCAACAAGTGTTGCAGCACATGGGTAGTAGTAACCTGGTGAACCCCCACACTCAGCATCAGCAGCAGCAGCAGCAGCAGCAGGATTGCGTGTGGTGCATGCATGCATGCAGGGAGCCGCCTAAGGTGCAGGCAGTGAAGAATCCCTTTGGTTTTGCTGCTCCTCCTACTGTAGGCAGATCGTCTATGGAGTGCTAAATACTGCAGCAGCAGCAGCAACAGCAACAGCAGCAGCAGTTGCTGCTGCTGCTGGTGATGCAGCTGCTGCAGCAGCGGTTGCTGCAGCAGCAGCTGCATGTGCTTTAGCAATTGCTGCTGCGGGTGCTGTACAGTCAAACTGTGCAGGCTTGCTGCTGCAGCAAAGCAACAGCGAAGCAGCTGCTGCTGCTGCAGCAACTGCAGAAGCAGCAGCAGCAGCAGCAGCATGACATGAGTAGCTGCTGCTTGTCCGTGCACAGCAAGCAGGGGCAGCTACTTGCTGCTGCAGCAGCAGCAGCAACAACAACAACGCATGCATGCAGCCCCACATCTTGTGGGGCTTTTGCCCGCATTTGTTGCGGCGAATATTCATCGCTAAGAGAAGCATCTACACAATAAACGTAAAAAGCTAGCTAGCTAGCTAGCTAGCTAGCTAGCTAGCCGACTGGCTAGCTAGCCAACCAGATAGGTAGCTAGTTGGAGGGGGCTAGTTAGATAGGTAGCTAGCCAGATAGCTAACTAGGCAGCTGGCTAGTTATACAGCTAACCAGATAGCTAGCTAGGCAGCTAACTAGCAAGACAACTAGATCGACAGCTAGCTGGGCAACTATCTAGACAGCTAACTAGCTAGACAGTCAGCTAGCCAAGTGCAACTGAACAGCTAGATGAGGGCAAGCAGAGCGGACAAGCAGCGAGCAGCACACAGCAGCAGCAACGAGGGGAACGGCTACATCGTAAGCAGGGGAGGGGCAGCAGCAGCAGCAGGGGCCTCTGTAGCAGCAAAGGCAGCAGCTGCTGCTGCAGCAACAGAGCCAGCAGCATCAGCAGGTGGGTGAGTGTCGAGGAGTGTAGTTACTGCATCGAACGTAGCAGCACCAGCAACAGCAGCAACAGCAGCAACAACAGCAGCAGCAACAGCTGAGTACCATTAGGAGACCTTAAGACAGAAATAAGCGCGAGTTAGTGTCCGTTAATATAACAAAATTAGCAGCAGCAGCAACAACAGCAACAGCAGCAGCGCCCGATCTTTAGGGATCGACGATCGCTCAGCAGCTGCAGCAGCAGCAGCAGCAGCAAGGATCGATATTGTACTTAAGGAGCAGCAAAATATATTTTTTATTTTTTTAATTAAAAATAAAATTAATTAAAATAAATAAAAAAGAAAAATAAATAAAATGTCTTATTGAGGAATTATTTGCTGCTTTGCTGCTGCTGCTCCGTTGCACATGCGGAGCTGCAGCAGCAGCCTGCTACTGCTGCTGTTGCTGCAGCGGCAGCAGCAGCAGCCTGATCCAATGTTTTTGTTTAATGTTTATTTGTTTCTTTTTATTTATTATATGAAATAGGGTTTAGTATGCCTCCTTCTTCCTCTACAAACCCTAAACCCTAAACCCTAAACCCTTTTTTTTTTTTGTTGAATAGAGGATACTCAGTCTCCTTTGCTGTCTCCTTTTGCTACGGACAGCCTGAGCTGCCTATACACCCCAAAATACATGAGGGGTTATTTAGTTTAGGTGTATAGGGGTCTACCTATCCCCTTTTCTGCTGTTGTTGTTGTTACTGCTGCTGCTGCAGTTGCTGTTTCCTTCTAGTAGCAGCAGCAGCAGCAGATGCGAGGCCTCCTGCTGTTGTCTCTTCTTTGTTGGCTCGCCTTCCCTGCAGCATGCAGCCAACACGGGCTTGGAACAATAAGAGGCGTAGCAGCAGCAGCAGCTGCTGCTGCTGCAGCAGCACGAGCCGCAGCTACAGCTGCAGCTGTTGCAGCAGAAAGGTCTCCTGCTGCTGCTGCTGCACCGCAGCAGCTGAAGGAACTGTTGAATAGCAGCACCACATCTCATCTATTAACCGCAGCAGGTTCTGCTGCTGCTGCTGGTTCCTCCTCCCCTAGTATGCTGCAGCAGCTGCTGCAGGACATGCAGCGGCTGCTGCAGCGGGTGCGCAGCAGCAGACTGTATACACGAATAAAGCAGCATATAAAGAAACAGCAGACGCAGCAAATAGATAATAATAAAAAGTTTGCTGCTGCGCCTGTCAATCGTATGGATACAAGTCCTATACTTAATCAGCAGCAGCAGCAGCAGCTGTTGCTGCGACACCAGCAGCAACTGCAGCAGCAGCAGCAGCAGATCCTCAACCCTGCGACGCAGCAAAGGTTGCCGCTGCACGAAGGATTCCATTCTACACAGCAGCAGACGCAGCAGATGCAGCAGCAACAGCCGTATTGGATGCTGCAGCAACGGCCGTTGCAGCAGCAGATGCTATGGCACCAGCAGTTGCCGCAGCAGCACATGCAGCAGCAACAGCAAATGCAGCAGCAACAGCAGCAGATGCTACAGCAGCACCAACTGCAGCAGCAGCACGTGCCACAGATGCCCTTCAATGTGTGGCCATATTCCCAGCAACAGCCGCAGCAGCAACAGCAGCTGCAGCAGCAACAGCAGCTGCAGCAGCAACCGCAGCTGCAGGTGCAGCAACTTCTTCAGCAACAGCAGCATCAGCCGCAGCAGCAGGTTGACTTCAATGTGTGGCCATATTCCCAGCAACAGCCGCAGCAGCAACAGCAGCTGCAGCAGCAGCAGCAGCAGCCGCAGCAGCAGTTTGACTTCGGCTGGCAAGTAGGGTTTCCTTCCTTCTCTTCTGCGCAGGCAGCAAACCCTCTACCAGCACTAAGTGTGGGGCCGTTTTAGGGTTTAGGGCTTACGTAAACCCTAACCTCCCCAACAGCATTATTGGGGCCCCCAGGTGCATTATAGGGGCCCCCTAGCAGCGTCATAGGGGCTCCCTGGCAGCACCATGGGGGCCCCCTATATGGGGCCCCAAGCAGCATTATGGGGGCCCCCAAGTGTCACATTTGTGAGTGTTTAAGAATTGGACTTTAAATGTGTCTATTAAGATTTATTAATTAGGGTTTACAGGGGTTTATTGAGGGTTTATTAAGGGTTTAGGGTTTAGGGTTTAGGCTTATTAATTAGGGGTTATACGAGGGCCTATATATTAGGGTTTAGGGTTTACAGGTTTATTAGGTGGTTGGATTAGGGTTTATTGATTAGTCTTAGCAGGTGTTTGTTAATTAGGGTTTCTAGGGTTTAGGGTTTCTAGGGTTTAGGGTTTCTAGGGTTTAGGGTTAAATTGCAAATTAAATAAATAAACAAAATGCATGTAGTTAAAAAACAAACAAAGAAAAGAAAAAAAAAATAATTTATCTACTCGTCGCTGTGTCTGGAGGCCCCCATAGACCCTAGGGCCCCCCCACCAGCTGAGGCTCCCCTAAGGATCGAACCAGGGGGGCCCCCCGCGAGTCGGGCCGAAGGGCCCCCTGTGGGCCCCCCTCCACCTGAGGCGGCCCCCCCTCCAGCAAGATTCCCCGCTGAGGGGCCCCTACGTAGACTTCCTGAGGGGGCCCCATGAAAGGCATCCGCTGAGGAGGCCCCTCCACGGAAGGTATCTGCGGGTCCCCCTTGGGGGGCCCCAGCCTGTGGGCCCCCTGGGGGCCCCCCAGTTGGGGCCCCAGGGGCCCCCATTGTATGAATAAAATTAGGGGTAGGAGGAGAGACATTTGCTCTTCTTCCTAGATGGACAGACTCGCGCTTTAATACATGAAGAAGGGTTTGTGCAGACTCAAGGATCTAATTCAGCACAAGGAGACACATAAGAAAAGGAGACAGATAGAGGCAAAAGGAGACACATAAGAAAAGGAGACAGATAGAGGTACAAGGAGACACATAAGAAAAGGAGACATATAAGAAAAGGGGACAGATAGAGGTAAAAAGAGACACATAAGAAAAGGAGACACATAAGAAAAGGAGACAGATAGAGGTACAAGGAGACACATAAGAAAAGGAGACAGATAGAGGTACAAGGAGACACATAAGAAAAGGAGACATATAAGAAAAGGGGACAGATA